CCCGAAGGCCTCGCCGTCCTCGCTGTCCATTGTGCTGCTCTGCCACTCCATCTGCTCGCTGGCCAGGCTCTCCTCCAGCTCGGAGGCGTTTTTCCATTGCGACTGGTCCTTGGACCAAAACCCTTCTACTTTTCCATAGGAACGATTCTTCCACTTTGACTGCTCTTCATCGCTTTCAGATCCACCCCCCTTGGCCTCCACAGCGGGTTTACTGCTCCCGGCATCTTCGCTTTGGGAAGACTCATCTGTCCACACTTCTGGTTTTACCTCCAATGCGTTGTCTTCAAAATCCGAAACCTGCTGGGAGCCAGGCCCGCTTTCAGACTGGGAAGCTCCATCCTTCCACTCCACTGCATCTTCCTGCTCATCCTGATCACCTTCACTATCTGAAACGTCACCCACCAGTTTTGTGGGCTCTTCAGCAGCAATTATCTCTTCGTATTTAGAGCTTTCCTCTTGTTTTTGATCAGCCTTCTCTGGAGACTGTAGTGTGTTTTCCTCCAGGATTTCCTTGGCTAAGCTGTCCTGGGGGTCCTGCACTGTGCTGTCTGTCGAGGGTTTCCCACCCATGTCAGAGACACGCTGGCCAAAGGGACTGCGGCTCTCGCTGTATTCCTCCTCTAGGTTTTCGTAGCTGTCTGAGGAACTGTCATTGTCTTTTTCTAAGTTGATTTTTTTATCAACAGTCTTACTGACATTGACCCTGGAATTCTTCTCGTCGTGGTTTTCAAACAGCCATTCATCATCAAAATCCATCTCGTGTTTGACTTTGTTCAGCTCTTTCATGTTGAAGCCCAGCAGCACCCCAGGTTTGTATTTTTCACAATCCCTGACACATTTCTTCCTTTTGTTGCTGAAGTGAGACGCGATGTCAGATTTCCAGAGCCACAAACTGGCCGCCAGCTTCTCGATCTCTCTCCGGGTGGGGTAGGGCTGCTTATTGAAATACTTTGTAAGAAACGTTTTCCTGGCTTCGTACGAATCATCTTCGTGACCCTTGGGGTCCAGTGCTAGAACTACAGGTTCCTCAGGCTTCTCCTCAAAGGCAGAGGGGGCGTCATCGTCGTCCATCTTCCTCTTCTTCATCAGGGGGAACTCCATGTGCTCGTAGGCGCGTTTCAGCGGCGCGGCCGCCGGGGACTGGCCCAGCCGGGACGAGCTCCCTTTGTCCTGCCCGTTCTGGGTCTTGCCCACGCCCCTGCAGTGCACCAGGTGCAGCGTTATGGTGGAGGCCGTCATGTTGCTCGTGTACACGCCCAGGCAGTGGATGCACTTGTAGGTCAGCTTCTTCTCCACGGGGTGAACCGTCTGAATCACCTGGTGCCTCTCCCGGAGGTGATGTGCCAGCGCGTCGGAGATGGGGCCTTTCAGGATCGAAAAGCACAGAGGACACAGAGTTTTCCCCACATCTTTTTTGTAGGGCACTGCTGCTTGTGGAGAACTTTTGACGGGTACGTCAGATTTCTCCTGGATTTTGGGCTGTGGTTTTGGGGGGGCCGGGGGGGTGTTCTGAGCGTGGTAAGCTACGGATTCGGCGGGAGCATCCCGCAGGTTGTAGGTAGTGACAAGGAGGTGTATGTTCGTGTGGCTGCCCTGCTGCAATGTCAAATCAAAGGTGAGGGTGGAGTCAGTTTTAGGTCCCATCTCCTCGTCCACGTGCACCATGCGCATGTGGGCAGCCATCTTCTCCACGTCGTTGAAGGTGGAGCGGCAGTAGGGGCAGGAGAGCCCGTGGATCAGCATGTGATTGAGCAGCGTGTCCGTGGGCAGGTAGCGGTTACAGTAGAGACATTTGCTCGTGAAGTTGTGGATTTTCATGATGTAGTTGGCCACCGCAGGCACCTTCTCGGCCTTGTGCTCCTTCTCAAAGTGGACGCTGTACACGTTTTCGGGGAACAGCTCATTGCAGATTGTACAGATTTTCCACTTCTGCGTGGACGAGGTGTTGACAGCGGAAGGACCTGTAGCAGCCACGGGGGATTTGGAGCCAGACTGCCCCAGAGCTCTGGACGCCTGGGACTGCGACAGCGACGCCTGTTTGAGCTGTGCCGCCGATAGTGAGGAGGAGTTGGCAGACTGCAGCGAGTACCTGGCTGAGGCCTGGGACCTCTGCTCCCCTCCCAGCGTGTAAGGCCTTCCATTGCCACTCGCTGAAAACTGTTTCATGCTTTGTGATTGTTGGGAAAGAGAAATAGCTGCGTTGCCACTGAGGCTGAGCCTCCCCCCTGGCTGACCAACGTAACTGGGGGGAACGGATTTAACCCCGTAATTGTTCTGCTGTAGGTGAACGTTTGACATCATATTGACTCCTGCAGAGTTTAACGTGGGCTTTGGTATAGTGAGTCTGTTCATCATCTGCTGTGACGAGAGCGAGCGGACGCTGCCAGCAGAGAGGGCACCCATCCTCTGAGGGAGTCCCATAGGCTTTTTATCCTGCGGTTTGGGAGCTATTAGCATCAAAGGTTTGGATCTGGGCACCACTACGTTGGTGTGACCTATCATTGCCGTGACCTGGTACCCGATCCGCTCGTGGTCTTCGATCACGTGCTGCACTAAAGCTTCGTAGGATTTCGGCATGAAAAGGCATCGTTTGCAGTGGATACCCCCCTCCTCTCGGGCACTGGAGCTCAACGGAACCGCACCATTGAGGGACTTTTCGCCTCCCTTGGCTACGTAAGGAGCAGCAACGTGCTGAAAATGTTCCCTGTAAATGTGCTTTCGAACGATTTCGTAGAGCGGGTCACGGTAAGTGCACTTCTTACAGTAATAAACAGCTTGTTCCACACTGTCAGCCTGCTTGGGTTTAAGGCTCTCGTGTTTGTTTTTATCTTTGAAAGTGCTGATGCCTCCACTCGGTGTACTGGCATTGGGAGCATGGAATATTTTAATGTGCGTTTCCAAAGTCTTTTTGTCCGCGTTGAAGGTACAGTAGGGGCAGTTGAGCAGGATCCTGTTCTCAAAGTCTTCGCTGTGAACATTCCGGAAGTGGCTCTTGTAGGCTGAAAAGAACTTCGAGGAGAAGGGACATGCACTGCAGCAAAAGGGCTTTGTCCGATAGTCCTTGAACAGAGAACAGAGCACAGACTAAATATTCAACTGCACTTCTCAGCAAAATAACACCCATGGTATTCTCTACACAACCTTTCTGAACACACTCACGAGTCCCCTGCAACTGCCTCAAACCTTCAATTCACTTTTCTCCCATTTCTGGCCTGCATCAGCCCCTAAACAGCTGCTCACATGAACACACACGATGTGTTGAGTGCCAAGGGCTCCCTCGGGGGTTTAGCCACGGCCTGGCAGGTGAGGCTGAGTCAGAAGTGTTTTTCCCTACTGGTCACAAAAAGCCTCCTCCCTGCAGCTGAGCTGCAAGAAAAGGTCCTTGTGAGCTCCTCTCTGGGGGAAAGCCAAGCAGGACTGTTTGAGGAAATGAGACTGTATCCAGATGAGATACTGCCCACCTGAATCTGCCAAACTTGATAGATGTAATATGGATCTATAACTTCAGCTATTTCAGTGTCTTTATCCGTTACACACTTCAATAGCACAGATTCCTCCTGAGTGTCGCAAGTCCTGTGCACTGAGCTACACTCAGGTCACAGGTGAGGGAGCTGGAGAGCTGCACTGCAGAAGGAAGCTGGAATATCTGCTCTGGCCTCCTGCTGAAGCCTCACACACCTGGTGGAAACTGGCTCCAACAAAAAAACCAACCAACAGCTGTCTCCTCTTATATTACAGTTTTTATTCTGGGTTACCTAGAAAAAGGGACATCAGTGTATTTTATGCAAGACAGTACTAAATGGTAATTTTCAGATTCACAGTAGGAATCCATGACAGGATGGGTCCCAGTTTTCTCTATTGAGCTCGGAGGTGCTCACACAGGGATTCCTTTATAGAGAGGTTTCTGACCTCTCCCTGCTGGGATGACTCTGTCCTGCAGCCCCAGCAGAGGATGCTGCAGCCCACATCACTTGCTTGAATCAACAGCATCATCTCCTCCCTCCAGTGCTGGCTCAACTCAAAATTCCTTTATTACTGGCTCAGAAACATCACAATAGCAGGACTTGCAGTGCCACTGAGCTGCTGAGCAGAACTAGAAATGCCCAAAGCAGATGTGGGACACAGCCTGTGGGACCCAGAGCTGCACTGACAGTGACCCTGCACTAAGCAGCAGCATCCAGGGAAACAGCTTTGGAAGGGATGGAAACCAGGAATAAAACATCTAAAGAAAGGTGAAAGACCCATTGCCAATTGTATAAATGTGTTGATCCTTTGGCCAGAGGGCTGGTGAAATTGTGCTAGGCTTGGGAACAGGTGGGAACGGGCTCCTAAGGTGCAGCTGTTTGACTTGAGCAAGGACCCCCCAGCTCTGCAGCACTGGCCACCCAGGATCCTGAGACACACACCAGGAACAACTTCACAAAAGGAAGAAAAAAAGCACATAGCTTTTTGCTGCCCCTTGAGCTGCCAACACCTGAAAATCAGTGAAGAAAACTGCAGGAAAAGCTCTTGGCATGTCTGGGAAACGCCCTTCAGCATGACCCACTCCAGCCTCAGTGTCAAGTGAAACTCTTACCAACCTGGTTTTTTGTAAGCGATGGGTCCCACAGTCCCACGTCCTCCCATGTAGTGTTTTTCAAATAAAAGTCATTAGGTTCAAACTGCTTAAAATCCTGGAGAAGGGAAGATGGGAAGAGAGGACAGAGAGTCAGCAGCAAGGCCCAAGGGCTCCCTTAAGCAATCCCTGAGCAGCCCTGCACGCTCCCAGGTGCTGCTGGCCAAGGCAGAGACCATCACTCAGGGCAGGGGGGAGTGTGGAGAGCACCTCCTGGGAGGGGGAGAGCTCTGAATGTTCTCTGTACCACAAAACACCTGCACAACATCTTCAGCACTTATCCTCCTGACCAGCCTACACTGTAATTACAAACTCATCTCATTCCAAAAGCAATCCTGGAGAAAAGCATTCCCAAACTGATGTGTGGCTTTGGGGTTTTTTGGTTGCTTTTTCTGAGGCTGGTGGTGTGGTATTTATTTTGTTTGATTGGTTTTGTTTGGCTTTTAATTAATTTCACACAGGAAGCTTTTAAAGTTCATGGGTGATGTCCAAGACTCCTAATTCTTATTTTAAAAATTATCTTATGAAGCATTTCTTTGGCATTTCGCCGTTGGCATTAAGTCAGCCTGACCCAGGCACAGAGGTGATTCTGTAACTTCAGGACCTGCTGCAGCACAAACACTTCCTGAAAACCTCAGACCCATTTCTGCCCCAATATCCCACACCCATCCTGCTTCTTCCAGCATTCCTGGGTTTCAGTAGCCACTAATGTTTCTAGAAGTGTTTACAGGAACATTATATCTCAAGTTTCTAATTAACTCCTACTTTGTGTGGAACTTAAAATGGGTCTAAACAAAAACCATGGCATACACAAATATCTCCCTGTCCCCCTGACTCTGCAGCATTTTAGCTCTAACCCCTGCAGGTGCCATACTTACTTCTATATGTTCTTTACAGTACTCCAAACCAATGTCACTAAGTATTTTTTTCACAGTTTTCCGGGCCTTTCTTAAACTGCCAAGGTTGTTGACAGGAAGTTGGAACATAGTTTCTATTGGAAAAGAAGAGCAAGAGAAAGGTTAAAGTCAAATGTGTTTTGTTTGATAATGGTGCACTTTTCATTATCAGTAATTGTCTGCCCCATTCCCCCACAGAACTGGTCCCAGAGCTGTGCCATTCCCTAACACACTGTTACATTCTCTGGCCTGTCCTTGCTGAGGCTGCCCATGAGGCTGCACAGGGCACTGCTGAAAGGGCAACACACTGAGGGAACAGCTACTGCAGGAGCAATGGGCTGCCTCTGGAAATAACTTTCATTTCTTCAGAGTGTCTGTCTTTACTAGCCCTACACTGAAGTACCTCAGAACTCACTTCTCTCCTGTGCAATGTATCCCAACTGATCTGAAAACTGGCAAGCTGAGCTTCAAGGTCTGTGCCAGTCTTGCAAGAGATTTCAGTGTCTCTTCAGTGATAAAGATGCTTCTTCTATTCTGCTGTAGGTAGGGTAAGAAATTAATGCTGTTTCCTCCCTCTGCTGTAGTCAGAGCTTTAACTGGCTGAAGATCTTTAGCAAACACCCTCCTAGGAAGAAGGGACCTGAAAGCTTGGTCAGATCCCTCCAGAGAGAGAAACCACTGAGGAAAGTCCAAGAGATGGCCTAAACCTCCCCATGTCCCTGGGAACTGTCAGCCTCCCTCCCATCAGTGCCCACAGTTCCACTGGGCCTGGCTGGGGCTGTCCTGCTGAAAGGGAACCCAACTCATGAACTGCTCTTCTCCTATATTCTATCCATCCTCAGCTCTACTGGAAAAACAATGTCTAATACAACCTAGAGCAAGCCAGCTCCCTTTTAAAGACACGAAGAGTGATTTCAGTGCTTCAGAAATACCTCCAGTGACTGCATGATCCCATGTCTCAGAAAAAAAATCAGTGAAGCAGCTCAGTCAAGTATGGTCAGGATTTGAATTCATATTTTCAAGTGAATTTCAAATCCCAGGAGATAATCAGAAATGTTATTCCTAGTGATTAATATGAGCTGCAGAAAGAGCAGTGCATGAACACAGTGCATGTTAAAGCTCCTGGCAATCTGGGCTGCCTTCTTGGAATCCCAAGTCCCCACCTGAAGAGTGAAGCCCTGTGCTTGCAAAGAAAAGCATTTTTTATCCCATGACACAGCTAGAGCCAGTGCAGAGCTTGTCTGTAGGCACTGATCACTTGTACACCTGAGTCAGCCACAAGACTCAAAATACTGCTTGGTATCTCACAGCTAATTTCAAAACGCCACCGAACTTCTTCAGCAAAGGCATCAAATGCTTTCTCTTAATCCTGTGTCTAATACAGCTGAACAGGCCACAGGTACCACGATATACAGAAACTCTAAGAAAGTAAATTATTTCCAACTGCCTGAAAACAACATCTCTGGTCTATTTGCAGCATCTTCTTGCCTCTGCCCTTTGCCTGCCTCAGTCAAATTTTGAAGACATGAAATTCCCTGGAGTTACCTATCACCACCCACCACAGCAGAGGACACAGTTGGATCTTCACACCTGAAATCTGAATTTCAAACTCCAGCTTTTTACATCAACCTTACTTTGCAAGTTCTGCTGGGCAGCTGAATCCAACTCACCTCATTGTAACAAAACCCCTCATCCTCAGGCATACACAGTTAATTTTATTTAGGAAATGTCTGACTACTTAATCTTAGTGAGTGGAGAGTCAGATACAGTCTGATACTATTACAGGCTGTGAGTACAACAAAAGCTTTTAGCATCTCCATCCATTTCTATTTACAGCAAGTAACTGCAGCTGTAATGTAAACATCACTCTGCTGGCACCTCCTTGGATGGGGACATAAAAGCAGTTGGGATTAAGCAGCCTCTCAAATCACCATCTAGTCATTAATGCTGCCCTGGAAATGAGGCATCCTTTATCTGACCAAAAGCTGATGTTTAAGGGAACACACCTGGAGCATCTCTGACCACATCAACCTACACTGAATGCTGGGTGGAATGAATAAATGACTGCTTAAAACCAACCCCAGCAACACCCTGACTTGAAATCTCCAGGTAGGAGCCTCAGGTGCCTCAGAAGGCATATCCCAAAGCTCTCTCTCATAATAAAGAGAGAAATAAGCCAGAAATAAGCCTTTTACTTGTTCAGGCACCCACACCTGTACGAGTTGGCCAGGGCTCTTCAGGAGGCCACTCCAGCTACCCTCCCTGCACTGAGGTAATTTCTTCATAGGATCACCATGGGATGGCCTGGGTGGGAAGGGACATTAAAGCCCATCCAGCTCCCCCCTGCCATGGGCAGGGACACCTTCCACTATCCCAGGTTGCTCCAAGCCCCATCCAACCCGGCCCTGGACACTTCCAGGGATGGGGCAGCCACAGCTTCCCTGGGATACCTCTGGCAGGGGCTCATAGGGAAGAATTTCTTCTTAATGTCTTCTAATTTCTTCATTTTATCTCTTGAGCTGAATGTTTCTTATAAGCATTCCATGAAATTTACACTTCCATTCAATTTTCACTAAATAAGTGACCTCAGGATAAAACTGCAGATGTGATTTCAACCCTTTTGTACATGATTAAAAAGAATGAAATATAGCATCAGTTTTAATTTCTCTTATGAGCACACAAGGTTCACCCTTCCCTTCCTAATGTTCTCATTTATTCCTACTATGAAAACTGAGAAAACATGAACTTTTTGGTGATCTGACTGACAACCAGAATTACCAACCACCCTGCTGAACAAAGCATTAGGTGTGAACAAGTGTGCAACACAGACATTTGTATTAGCAAGGTACAACCCCAGCCTGTTCTGTCCCATCGTGACTCAGCTCAATCTTGTCTTTCTAAAATAATCAGCAGTGTAAGAGCTCTAGTTCATTAAAGCAGGTTTTTAATCAGTTTTGAACTGAACAATACTATTTGCTGTTATTTCTGTGCATGCTTATAAAACACAACTGCTCTTACTCTGTTTTCCCCTCTCCCCCTCATCGTGCTCTGCTGCTTCACCAGGTCCAGCCTTCCTGTGCTCCTTCCCCCTCTCCTTTCTTGGCTGCTTCTTGGCCTCCTTGGTCCTTACCTCGCTCATTTTCCCATTTCTCCTCTTCCCTGTGCCAATTCATAGCGTCCACATTCTTTCGTCGTTCTCTCTCATCCTGTCTCCACCGCTTCTTGATATCTTTGTCCTTAACTTGTTCATTTTCTCTCCTCTTCTCATCATCCCTGTGCCATTTTATTGTTTCTGCATTTTTCTGCGGCTCCACGCTTCTTTTGAGATAGTCTTGTCGCCTCCTCCTCTTTTTTAACATATCCCTTTCCCTGGCACGAGCCTGCTTTTCTTTCTGGGAAAGAAAAGCTTTACGGGGCATCATGAGCTGCTGCTGTACCTGCAATAACATCGCATCCATGGAATGATCACTCTGAACATGCACTCAGTCAGGCACAACAGCTCACCTGGAGCTCCACACTTCACACCCAGGCAGTGCCTGCTCAGTGCCCTGCTCCTCCTCTGCCCTCCTGAGCCGGGGCTCCTCAGAGCTGGGCCAGCCTCGGGGCCACCTCAGTGAGCCCAGGGATGCTGGCTGAGCAGTGGCTGTGGCATTTCTGTCCCCTCCCTGCAGCTCCTCCTCCCCCAGAGCCTCTGGCAGCCCCTTGGCTTTGCTGCTCCCGCTCAGAACAGGCTGTGGGTGGACAGAGGTGTGAAGGGAACTTGGGGACCTTCAAACCAGTCCCCTCTCTTCCTGGAGAGATGCATTTAATCCAACTTAAAGGTGCTAATTTTTCTTTCCAGACCTCCATCTCCACCCACTTTGGGTGAAAATGGCTCTCTTGGCTGGGAGGAGGGAAGGGGGATTAGGAGACAAGCCACAATCTGAAAAATTGTGTAAGCTTTGTTTCCTGGGGAAACCTGGCCAAAACATTTAACTGCAGTTAATGAAATAAGTCCTGACTCATCTACCCAGACTTCCTCCAAGTGTGTTATGTCTTGCTATTCACAGGAACAAAGGGAAAAAAATGAGACTATTTACTTGGAGTTTCTGCTGACAGCATTCCTGAGGGGTGGGGCTTCTTGGGGCTGGATTTTGAGGCTTGGGGCACTTTGTTTCTAGAGAGGTGTCAATGGGGACTACATTTAACAAACTGTATTTACTTTTGGTCATTTCTCTGTAGTCACCCAACACATTCACATTTTCAAATGTAAAAGTGTGAGTACCTGCAATTTTGAAATCATGGAAGAATTTATATCATTATTGATAACCTTTAAATATTTTTCTGTACACACTGAGCAATGTTTCAGTAAAGGAAAACTGCAGTTGTAGGCCAGGTTTGAGTTCTTTGGTTGGGTTTTTGTTAAGTTTTGAAGGAAGATTTGCAGAGGTCTAATCAAAATGAAAACTGCAGAAATGACAAAATTACTAGATTACAATACTTAAGCAAAGCCTAAAACAAAATGAAACAAATGTACTTTTAAAATTTAGCTACCTTATGGAAAGCACTTGTTCCCAGCATGCAATACTCCATCTTTTTCCTACAGAAAAAGCAATGTTTCAAACCCTTATTCTAAAAGCTGCTCCTTTCCCCTACAATACATCCCACCCCACACACTTTAACCCTCTGCTCTGGTCTATTGCCTTTGTTAGGTCTGTATCATGATCCCGTGGCTTTCATTCCAATAATTCAGCCCCAAATTTATTAATATCCATAATAATGCTAAAAGGGAAGGGCTGAAGCAGAGTCAAATACCGTAATAAAAAAAATCATGCAGTGTGGTAACACACTAGTACATAAAATTCAGATTATGCTAAAAATGACTTCATTACAAGGGTGGGTAGCTCTCTACCAGACAGCTGGGGTTTGGGTATTAAATATTTCTCAGTAACAGTTGGCATTAAAATCAAAAAGCAACGGGAGCCCAGGATCAGCACCCTCAGTGCCACCCAGCCACTGCAAATCTGTACCACAGTTTCAGTTCTCTGTGGGCTGGGTGCCAGGACATTACTGCTGTTTACTAGAGCAAACTTAACTCATTATCTTTGTAAGTGTACATTATCATTACAATTTTATCAGTAACCTGCTTCAATTTCAATAACAATAACATGAAACACATCATGCAAATGATTTTCCCTCCCCCACCCAAGGCAAGTAGCAACATTTCAATCTGTCATTGTTGTATTTTCTTTCATTTGTTTCTCCTGCTGGGAGCTTTTCCCCCTTTGGTTTTATCTTTTCACAGGATTCTCCCCTCCCTTTATACAGCCCACTTTAACTGATCAGTTTATAGACAAATGATAGAAAATACCTCAATAAAAAGCATTTCAGCTGAATTTCCAAAATTAAACATTTCACTTGAGATTCAAATAAGTAATGTCATATTCCAAGGAATATCTTAAAGGGACATCCAACTTAAATTGCAGATCTTTGAACTTTCCTATCCCAAGTCAGTGTTTCCCCCAGTTTGTTTAGCATTCCAGAATCATCTCTCTTGCAGTCTCAACTAGCTTTCACTTTCACCTCTGATGGTTTTAAACCGGCAGAAGAGTGAGAATTTTAAACCAGGAAACCAATTAATCTGCAGTGAAGCTGCCAGAGTGATTGATCCCAAAGCCCCCCAACCTCTCAATTTTTCTAGAATCCAAGTTGGTGTTCCTTTAAGTTCAAAATGTCCAAACCTCAGAAGCAAACAGTCAAAACTATCCTTTTTTAGCCCATACTTTGGCAAATGAAAACCTTTACTCCTCCCCATCTCTGCAGTACTTCTGACGAGGCATTTACCTCCAAAATGAATGGTGCTTGGGCGTCTCAGACTCATTGGACAAGCTTCAAGCACAAGCCTCCAAAGCCAATTCTCCTTGCAGAACGCCCCCTCGGGGCTCCGTTACACCCCCTGGGGGAGCCCAAGGCCCGGGCACGGAGGAAGGCTCATATCCTGCTGGACAAAACGGAGAGCAGAGACAAGAGATAAGAGGTGCGATAAGGGCAGTGTCACACTGCCAGGTACAAACCGCAGCCGTGCCTGTGCGGGGGCTGCAGGGCAGCTGTGCTGCAGCAGGTCTGAGCACGTTTGTGCTCCAGGATTGTGCTGGGGACTCTGCAGGGCTCAGCTTTCAGCTCGGGTACCCAGGGCACAAACCCAGCAGGGCAGAGGCTGGGAACGCTCCTCCTCACCCTCCATCCCCTCTGCAGCGCTGGGCATCAGCCCCATGAGCACCTGGGGCACCACAGCACAGCTGCGCCTGGCCCCTCAGGGACAC